CTATTTATTCAGTCGAAATTAAATATTCCAAAACCTTAATTGAGTTTTTATTTGATAAATATTACTATATTATTTTACTAAAGATCGTAATATCACATGTAAAGTTTTGACTCTTTCGTGTCATAGATTTAATATATATATGTGATTTATATGATCAATAGTATAGGCCAAATCGAAATCGATGTGTTTAAATGATGATCATTTAACCCTTACTGACCACGTTCCTATGTGTTTTATTACAGTCTCTCTACGTCATCCTAATTACATATTTATTCAGTACTCTTTGACACCGCCGCGGGACTAGCATGTCCACTTAGATAAACTGTTTGTCTGTTTGCACATCTCGATATTAGCTTTCAGCTGGGTGCACTACTTATTAATAACGACCGTCCAAACGCATATTGACCACCACCGTAAAACATACGAACATTAATTCTGATGTACAATTATGTTTTGTTATACATTTTTCTAACAATTTTTTTCTGTCTCGAAAAGTAAAGTCTTATTTTTCATTGCGTCCGTAATAGAAGGTTCATTTTTGACAAAAATATTTCAATTGTACGTACAGAAAATCTGAAAAGTCTATAGTTAGATTAATTATTAACAGTGCAATATAGAGATGGAAATACAAACGAGTTGGATACAAATAAAGCAACGGTGACAGAGCGACGACGGTAGCGGGTCGCTGGGGATCAAAGCGTTGATATTTCTCTCACACACACAATATATGAGAGGAGCCTGTTGCTTATTATTTTTAAACTAAACCAGAAAGCCTCTTATCCGAAGAGGCCCCGGGCATTCGTCAGCGAATCACGTCCCCATACGCTATTATGACTTAGCACTTCACACGTCACCTTAGGAAATTCAACGGCATCGTATACGGCCTCTGGAATTTGTCACCTTAATAATTTCACGCTTTTCAATTTTAATGCCCCGTCATATAATTTTTTTGTAAGAAAAATAATATTTCTTATTTTATCTTAACGATCATTTAAAGGATGTTTGTGTCGTCGGCTTTGATATCAATTAAGTGTCTCTTATAAGAAGCTACCTTTCTAAGGAAGAAATATTGATATATTTAATGAACATCGACACCTACAGAGGAAGTATACGGTGTTAATTTATTAATAAAGATGATTGTTATCAAGTCAATAGTAGTATCGTTATACACAGGAAACAATTAATGTATAAAACAATTGTATTGTGTAAGGGATGGCTGTGTGTGACGGAAGTAGTGGGGGAGGTTCGATTTCCGGGGCTCGGAAGCTAATAACACGCCACGGACCGACTCGGGCGTCTCTCGACAGATATTGTGTTCTCATGTTAAAGCTATTTTAATAACAGCTGGGATTTACGAATTCGTTAACCATCGAAAACCATCGGTATATAAGATTATTTGTTTTAAATATTATTAAAAGCTTTGCATAAGGTTTATTTTAATGAAATTTAAAGGGAAAAAAATAAATAGATGTTTTTAATTTTTATTATGCTGTGGACTTTCATTGATATATTACATACAATCATGACTTGAACATCACTTTTAATCGGCATCAATAATTAAGTACAGTATTTAGTTCAAAATTTATTATTGTTTTAGAAGACTTGGAAATACAGAGAAACAAACCTAATACAATCATCATTATTCAAATAAAACTACATTTTAAACTTATATGTATATAGAAATCTGTACAGTAATTCTATAAACAGTTATATATATTTGTAATAATTCATAATACATTTTGCTTAACGTTAGGAAGGGAAAGGCCCGTCAGATTACAGGGAGAGGGACGTCGAAAAACAAGAAGCCTCCGCGGAATGCAAAGTGGGGCTTATCTAATAATCATCGAGCGTGTCAACTTATTAATAAAAATCATATTTCATGGCGTCCCAGAAGACGCGACTCGAATAGCCATAACAGACTCCCTTTAAAATACGCCACCGGCCTTCTAATATTGATAACTCTACGGCAGTTTTCAATATAAATTATAAATTAATATGTATGGAGACTAAAGTATTGATAGATATAAGTGGAACTCGAGCCATTGAATTCAGGAATATGAAGGTAGAATCGTTTTGAGAATTAGGTTTTCAAATAAGATAAATATCCTTATATATATTATGTATTAATAATATAATGTTGGTACATCATTCATTCGTCCAACGTCGAGTTTGATCTTCAAAATTTGTTACAGAACCTAAATAAACATGCAGACGATAAAGTGAAGTAATCTAAGAGATCACCCTCTCGACGTAGTTAACACTTAACAATACAAACTTACTAAGTATTAAATATCAAGTATAAATAATGTTGGATCGTCCTTTGATAGTCTATCACAAGAAGTTTACGATTCAATTTTTAACTATATACTATGTGGAATAGGGTTTAAAATCATTTATTAACAATTAGGGTAGTGGCTTACAAGTATTGTTTTTACAACTATTACATTTTATTGAAATAAATACATCAACTTATATAATAAATATCATTGTCCGTTATAATAATGTTCCGTAAAATTATAATAAGCTTCTATAATTTCTAAACATTCCCTTCTTCAACGTCAAGACAACTAAATAAATGGGATTTTTTCGGTGAAATGTCTCCCGTCCGTCGAAAGCTCCTCGCGATGCCGTCCGCTGTTTTTTCTTTGCATTTTAAATCAAATAACTTCATTTTAGTCACAAATTTTCTACCGTCTTGGCATAATCAACGCGCCGCTCGTAAAGAGTTTAAGTCAATTTTGCGGCATAAAAAGTTACATTCACAAAGAGTTTTTTCCTTTGTAAAGTTTGGACGGCCCTTTGAAAGCCTCCTTATGTACCGAGTCTCATATGATTATTCTGGTTGTACTCTAAGTCTAGACTTATAGACTCTAGACCATATTCACCATAAACCCTTTTCTTTGTAAAATTTCAACATCATTCAAACCCGTCAGTCTTTAAAGGTCCCGTTTTTCCCGGTCTATTCATACTGCAGCATAACGGATGCCAAAAGGACATAATCTGTTACAAATGATCTGAAAATTGATAGAGATATATTTTTTTATGAACGTACCTTTGATACCGTAGCGAGGTAAATCTCAAAGCTGTTTTAATGGAAGCACAAAAGGGCACCATTCTGTTCCATTAAATACAGTTCAAACGTTTGATCCCTTTTTTTTATATTTGCCGTGGCGATGATCATCGGACGTATTCGGAGCGACGCGTTAATTAATGCAATGTTCTAATACTACAACCGGGTTACGGGGGCATTGATTCTGATATAATATATGTAACCATGTACATATAATATACTAGTTTTTCCCTGCGACTTCGTCTGCGTTAATTTAGGAACTAGTAATATAATATATGCAAAACCTGTCATGGACAACTCTATTTCGCCCTAGAGGCCGTAAATAACCACTTAATGGAATTTATTAAGTTTTTTTCTCGATTGAAAAGAACTAAACATCCTATGTCCATTACTTGGTTCTAAATTATCTCCCCACTTAACGTTCTTGAGTAATAAATAGTGTAACTAACACAACTTTCTTTTATATATAGATATGATATGCATAGAGAAATTTCTATTTCAAAGTATTTATTTTGCTATAAAAAGTTTTTTTTTACTATTTCAAATGTTGTTTGCTGCGCCATTGAAGTGGGTTTATGTAGGCGTTATTATTTTCTCTCTGATAGTGAATTTTAAACTGAAACAAGCTAAAATATATATCTGAATTGTTTTGACTCAGAGAATTTAATTTTAAAAACGCTATAGAAAAAATGGAAATAAATTTTCAAAATTCTTCTATATAGTTATAAAGGCTATTATGAAATAATTTTTTACTTTGTAATATTTTATTATTGTTTCATATTTTAGTTGTTCTCATTGTCTCTATAAAGATGTACGGTTAGTTTTTGAATTTTCGTAAATTTCCCATAAATTAATTGGCATTAATAATTTATATTAACGATTTTAATTAAACCGTTCTGTCCCATTTAAATTAATAATGATTTATAAGGATTCCTGCAGGAAACCCGTTACATTCATCCGTAGCTTGAAAAAAAAATATAAGGGGTTGAGAAAATATAATTTCAAATAAAAGTTGAGTCGGAGCAGTCACAAGTTTCTTAATTAAAACTTACGTCTGGTGTCGTGAGGGGAGGGACCTCTGACCTAGAAATAAATAAATAACCATTGCTGGCCCTGTCACGATTCTACCATTTATTTGTCTAAGCGAGTTTACTTCGACAGACGTCTCATATTGTACTGCAAATACTTATATGTACGACTATAAAAAAAATACTATATGACGTTAAAAAATTGTATAAGGAACAGTATTAAAATGCATGTTTAGTTTAAATGACGCGATTATCTAAATCCCTACTAATATTATAAATGCGAAAGTAACTCTGTCTGTCTGTCTGTCTGTCTGTTACGCTTTCACGCTTAAACCACTGAACTGATTTTAATGAAATTTGGTACAGAGATGGAGTTGACCTTGAGATAGAACATAGGATAGTTTTTATCCCAGACTTTTGAAAGGTTCCCTTGGAAAGGAGATATAACCGAACTGCACGCGGACGAAGCTGCGGGCGGAAAGCTAGTATATGTATATATTTCAATCGGTTTTGCTAAAATTTGTCATAGATATAAAATATATTTTAGTTTATCAAAAGAATAGTGAATTTATATTTTTTTTATGATTTTATTATATTATTTTTGTCTGCAAATATATGCAAGTTGCAAAATATTACTAAATACGAGTATATAGCAGAAAAGCTTTAACGTACAACGTTTTTTCACTGATACTGAATATAATACATTTTTAAATATAGTTTTTTAAGTTAAAAATGTTTGCGAATATCGGGAATGGATCAAATTTTATTGATTTTGCACTCGTTTGTTATAAATTTTTCGTCAAACAATTATTTATCTAAAAACAAAACTATCATAATTTTAATCCTATATTTGAATTCTAGTGGCGTGTTTTCAAAACATATATCTTTTGTTCTAGCATTCCATGTTGTACTTCTTCCATCACTACGAGTTGCCGGTGATACTACAGCAGGCTCATTTGCAACAAGTTTTACTTCGAACTCACCACGGTATGGGTGGTATGATGGGTTTAGCAGGTATAGCTGCGTTAGCCAGTGGCGCTGCGTATCACGACGCTCCCGGCACTGGGACACAAGCCACACCACCTACCACTCAATCTACCACCCAGACAGTCCAAAACACTGTTCAATCGACCACTCAAACATCACCCTCTGTATCAACGGTCCAAACAAATACGACTCACACTGGTGACGTGTCCACTAGAGCTACTTCCACCGAAACTATAGCGAGTGGAACTAACACTACGACCACAGACGATGAAAGACCTGTGACAGCAACAGCCGCTGAAGTTACCAACGACAAAAATACAACTGGTGATGGAATACAAATAGAAGAGATCAAGAGGAAGACTTCTCACGATGATATCAAAGTCGTTAAAAGCACCAGCTCGTCTGCAATCACAGATGACACAGAACCGGGTGGTACCAACGATATAATGAACATCAACGAACGGAAACTAAATAGTTTGACGCTCGACCGGAGACGATCTGAGATTGGAACCAATGAACGTGACCCACCAGATGAGTCTGGTGAAATAACTAAGAACATAGCACCTCGAGCGTCACCCGAGGCTGACGATTTAGACTAAAGAAACCGCTTCAACACGATTTCTACACGCATAAGTTAAATTTAGTCAGAAGACGGCCGTAATATACAAAAAAAATATATAACGTAGTTAGGTATTTTAATGGAACCTGCTATAGCATTGATATAGATATCCATCGGTAAACGTCGAACAATTATTATTGAAGTGTTAGTTTGTCGGAATGATCTAGAACGTTATGGGTCTCTTCTCATATATGACGGTGATTGTAGTTTAAGTTATGGCTGCCACTACAGCGAGTGTAAATATATAGATATCTATAAATATTTATTAGGTTTCTATTGTGTTGATGAAGTTTTTCATTTGTTAATTTGAAAATGCTTTAGTGATAGGTGCTGGAAGACGGCATGTTTTCATTCAGTGATTTAGTTTTATCGTAATAAATATTTTTTTTTGTTTAACACTGCGTGTTATTTCATTAAACCCTTTAGAACGTTTCCCTTAATAATATAATCATGTTTGATTTTTACAAAGTTTTTTTTCACTTGAAATGTAATAAATTTCAAAGATTTTTAGGAATAAACAAAAGTATTTTGACCTACAATTGTATCAGTATTTCGTCTACATAGTCTAATTTTACATTTTGCTAACAAAATTGAAGTCATAAGTGTTTTTTGTTTATTCAAATTTTATACACAGCTTAGTCCAAATAGTCCTATAATGATAGAATAGAAATAGAAATAAACTTTATTGCACTTAAACATATAGGAAATAACATTACAAACAAAAACAGAAAATTTAAGGCAAGGGCGGCCTTATCACTAAAAGCGATCTCTTACAGGCAACCCAACCGATGAGGATAACAAATATTATAGGAAGGGTAGTGCATATTATGATAAGTACATACACAAGAACGTAAAAAACAACTACATATACAAATACATATACAAAAAACGTAGACTACATATACATACCAGAGTATACATACACACAAATAATTAAATATACATATATACATACAAACATACATGCATATATACATATATACATACATATTACATACAAACATACATATATACATACATAAAATATATATATATATATAAAGGAGTAGTTACAGTGACATATAATGAAGCTTGACTCGACTTTTAAATATATTTAACGACTGAGACATTCTTATGTCATGTGGAAGCGCATTCCATAATTTTATAGATTTGATGGTAAAAGAATCACTGTAACAATGTGATTGGCTAAGGGGCAACTGAAGTTTATTGTCCGATAGAGAACGAAGATTAAGATGAAGAGAAGAATTAGAGCCAAGAAAGGAAAAGCGCTCTTTGAGGTAAGTTGGAGTTTGGGGAAAGAAAAGAATAGAGTAAAGAAGAGAAAGGGCGTGCAAGTTACGTCTTTGTCTGACTGTAAGCCATCCAAGTCGTGCACGATATTCAGAGATGTGGTCAAATTTTTTTAATCCAAAAATAAATCGTATGCACATGTTTTGCAACCTTTCCAGCTTATCAAGTAGCTCCTCGGATAGACCTAAGTAGCATACATCTGCGTAATCTAGTATGGGAAGAAGAAGTGCATTCGAAAGATAAATTTTAGTTTTGATTGGCAACAACTTCTTCCACCTTCTCAATGAGCCAATAGCTGCAAACATTTTCCGACTTAGATTTGACACTTGCTCTGTCCAAGAAAATTTATTATCAATTATAAGACCTAAGTTGGTGACAATATTATTATTGATCAAAGTTGTACTGTCAAACAATACGGGAGGAACATAAACTTGACTAAGTTTTGAAAGTTGTTTTGGATTGCCAACTATAGCTAACTGTGACTTACTGGCATTTAACGCTAATCCGTATGACTTGCTCCACTCACTAATCGATTTAAGGTTACAATTCATAAGATCAATAGCATTAGCAATGTTCTCAACAGGAGTCGTTAAATAAATCTGTAAGTCGTCAGCATAGAGGTGAAAAGAAACAGAAAGATGTTCAGTGACAGTATTTATAAAGATTGAGAAAAGGAGAGGAGAAAGAACACCACCTTGAGGGACGCCCGCTGTGAGATAGCAACAGGAGGAGAACTTACCGTCAACAAAAACACGCTGTTGACGATTTGAAAGATAAGACTGAAACCAAGAAACAACACTGGCAGAGAAATTTAAGGAATTAAGAATAGCTAAGAGAATGTCATGGTCAACAGTATTAAAGGCATTGGAAAAATCAAGAAGAGCTATGATAGTAATTTCTTTCTTATCAATCCCAGAGCGGATGTCATCACAGACTTTGATCAAAGCTGTAGTGGTGCTATGGCCCGGACGAAATCCCGATTGGAATGGGCTTAAAATGTTGTTGAGTGTAAGAAAGTTAGATAGCTGACCATGGACAATGCGTTCTAGAACCTTAGAAAGGAAAGGGAGGATAGATATTGGACGGTAGTGAGCTGACAGAGTAGGATTGGCGATTTTAGGGATTGGTAGGATATGAGCTAGATGCCAACTAATGGGAAATATACCTGAGTCTAAGGAGAAATTAAATAGGTGGCATAAAACAGGAAGAACGGTATCAAAAGAAAGGAGTATCATTTTACGACTGATACCGTCACATCCAGTGGCATCCGATTGAATACCAAGAATACTCTTCCTGATATCATCAGGGGTCACTGGAGTAAAATAGAAGGGAGAAAAATTAGGCTTAGGACGTGTGGATATGGAATTCAGGGTGTGACATTTATTCGCATTGTCCATGGTAGCCGCAGTGAAGTGCTTATTCAGGGCTTCAACATCAACATTTCTTACGTCTAGTGACTGATGGCCAATACCCATCGCATTCAAGAAACGCCATACCTTGCCAGGGTTCTTGACGCTTACTGATTCGTGAATATAATTCCGTTGAGCATCTCTACAGACTTTGCTGCAATGATTACGCAGCCGTTTGTATTTCAGGAGATTGTTGTCTGTAGGACTCAGTTTATATCTCGACTTAGCAGCATTACGTCTTGCCATGATAACTTTGATATCTGGTGTTAACCATGGTGCTGGAAGATGCTTTAACTTAATCGGTCTTAATGGAGCATGAGTATCAAAAAGGTCCGTGAGTAAAGAGTTGAATAATTCAAGTTTTTCATCCATAGACGGAGCATTGAATATAACATCCCAATCAATCCGATCAAGGTCACGCAAAAAATTATTATTATCAAAGTTTTTAAAGCTTCGTCTCATGACAATGGTTGGTTTTAATTTAGGTGGACGGATTTTGTATGACAAATATATAAGGTCATGGTATGAAAACGCTTCAGCGGGGTATTGGCCATACAGCATAGCATGATCAGATGAGGAAATAATTGTTAGATCTAACAGAGAAGGAGAGCAATTTGGGAAAAAGTGGGTAGGATTGGAAGGGAGTATATTTAAATTAGCGCTATTCACAATATTACGAAGGCGTTGAGCACGTGAGTCATTTTTATTCAGACACGTGTTAAAATCACCCATAATAATGGTGTGATCAACAGCAGAAACATATTTCTCAAGTAGGTGCTCAAAACATTGAAAATAATTTATATGAAGGGAAGGGCTATAAAATACCCCTAAAAGGACTTTTAACGAACCAAATAATAGTTCAAGAAAAATGTGTTCAGCAGAATCTGAGTATGGCGAGGGGGATTTATCTAAAATGGAAAAAGGAATATGACTACGAAGATAAATTGCCACACCGCCACCACCTTTACCTGTTCGGTCGTTCCGGATCAGATGGTAGCCAGGCAAACAGTACGACGTCGAGGATAAACTTGGTTTCAAAAAAGATTCGGATACAAGAATGGCATGAATATTTTTACTATCAAAGGAGGACAGGAAATCAGGGTAATGAGATGGAATACTCTGCGCATTTATATGCACTACGTTAAAGTTTCTAGAAACCCCAGAGAAAGTTGAGTCTAAAAGAGAATTTAGAGGAAGAGAAGCACTGTGAAAACTATCATCACTAGATAATACTGAGTCACTAAGATAGATACTATTATCATTCGAGTCACTGACGCTGTGAACGTTTGAAATCATACTTTTAATGTAAATACAAGTTAATATAATATATATGTAAATAAACTAATTAAATAGAAATAAATAAATAAATAGTATAATAATACCAAAATAAATCAAAATACTAGAATATTATGTTCCAATAAGCTACTCCTCCATCCCGCCAGCCGTTTGTGAGTAAGCAATTACAAAGATATACAATATTATATTTTTTATCATAAATATAGTAAAACAAAAAAAAAACCGGTTACAACATTAAAACAGAAAAAAGTGACCAATAAACAAAATAAAAATACGATTCAAGTTCTAATAACATTAAAAAAAAAAAAAAATACTAGTAAGTGGAGGGAAAAACATTAAAAAAATAAAATTAATTAAACTAAAATAACAAAAAAAAACTACCTAATAAAAAATAAAAATAATAACTACATAATCAATAGTTAGTTTTATCAATGCAGTTACTAAACGCAGATCAAACGTCAGATTGTTGACAATTGACATTATACATTCAGTCAACAACATATGATTATAATTATACCGACGTTTTACAATATTAACACTAATTTTATCCGAAATATAATTACAATAACTAAACAAAAATAGATGGCATAAATAAATAACAAAACAATTTAATGGGGCGAAGACAAATTGCTTCTAATAAAATGAAAACTTACTTTTTAACGATTCTCTTACTTCGCATAACCTGAGTGGAGTTGGATGATTTTGAAATTGAGTCTACAGTACTGGTACCAGCAGCAGCAGCAGGTTTAGGTGCAGAGGGCATGTAATTCGGTTTGCTATTAATTGAGTTGAGCTCTGCTGTTGTGACGACACGGTGGCGCTTACCATCAGACCCCGTAACGATAACAACTCCATCCTTCGTCCAGCATTTTGAAATACCGAACTTCTGTCTTGCAGACATAAACAGGTCATGCCTTTCCTTGGTAAGGAACTCCGACAGAGTCACGCCAGTGCTTTTAAGGGACGTTTTTGAATACCAGATCTT